GGAGGATCGATGCATCGGCGATACGGCGCGATCTGGATTCCGTTCTTCTCCATTCCGCCGTCGCCGATGCATCGGCGATGTTGCGGGATCCTCCGTCCCCATACGCTTCGGTCACACTCGGGAGGCATCCAAGTCATGGCGTCCTGCGACCGGAATCTCCTCTTGGGCGTGCCATCAAGTCTCCCGTCCCCGACCCCCGACGTCGCGTTTTTTTTCCACAGCGCAGCGTCGTCCCACAGAGAGGTCTGGACCCCTTGCCTGGGACCGGTCTTTCATCCTGAGTCGTTTCTGCGACGGTCTTCCGGCCCAGTAATTACGGGCCCCCGGGAGGCCGAGGCTGGTGAAACACCTCCCGTTACGTTTTGTTGTTGTTATTGTTGTTGTTGTTGTTGTTGTTGTTGTTGTTGTTGTTGTTGTTGTTGAACATTATTACTTCTAAAGAATAATTATTGTTGGGACCCCTGGTGCGCGGCCCCCTCGCCGCGCCTAGGCCGCAGCCATGTTTTCAGCATTTTCGCGAGGAAGTCTCCGGCAAAACGGGTTGGTCCGGATCCGGTTGTTTTGTTACGGGCGGTTTTCCCTTGCAAAAAATAAGGCAAAGTGGACATTTCTTGTTCTAACATAACCAAACTTCAAGAATCCCTTGCAAAAAATAAGGTAAAGTGGACATTCGCGCGCGCAAGACGAAATCCTTCCAAAACCTTAGTGTTCGTAGCGATTTTAACATAAAAACATCAAAAAAAAAAAAAAAAAAAAAAAAAACCAATGGTTTTTCAAAAAAAAATTGTCAAAATTTCATCCCGCGCGCTCTTGCGGATTTGTAGGAAACCCAACACTTTTTAAACATTTCTGTCAAACGGGCTTTTGCGAGCAACTTTTTCACGTGCTTCGAACTTCTCCAACGGTTCGTACCGTAGGTCCACCGTAGGACCTACAGACAGTACCGGCGTCGTACTGGTTTACCGTGGTTTCCTATTCTAGCGTCAGGAACACGTTACCACCAAAAACCAGTACAGGTGTCCAGTGTTGGAACAGGGGGAAAAGTCGTATATTAAGCTCGCGTCCAGAAAATGTTACCACAACAAATCACTGTACCCATGCGCCAGTGTAGTAGCCACGGTCGTCCGCAGGCCACGAAGTGAAGTGTCCGAACGTCATAGGGCGGGAAGCTGGGTGTGGGTGGTGGCGAAGAGTCGATTGGAAATGTGGTAGAGCTTGAACCGGCCCCCCCACAAAGTGGGGGTATTGCCCGCCTCCTATGAAAACCCTGGCACTGGTGAGAACGGAGTGTCCCCACGTGCTAGTAATTGTTGTTGTTGTTGTTGTTGTTGTTGTTGTTGTTGTTGTTGTTGTTGTTGTTGTTGTTGTTGTTGAACCTTAATTACTAAACAATTATTATTGTTGGACCCCCTATATTCGCCCTGGCGCTCTCGCCGAGGCGCCGGCCGCATTTCCTCTGAAATTGAGGCTCACGCTCAGGCGTTTTGGGGTTCCGCCAAAACCGGCCCCCAACAACAACAACGCTCCGGCTCGAGACTTCCTCCTTTTTTACTCGGGCTCGGTGCTCTTGCTCGCCGCCGAGAGCGGCTCCCGGGCCGGACGCCCGGGTCGGCGCCCGAGCCGGCGCCCGGGCGCCGGAAAATCGAGTTCCGAGGCGGCGCCGAAAAAACGCCATTTCAATACACATTTTTCTTTCGAAAATGCTGAATTTCTGCTTCCGGCGCCCGGGAGGGAGGCCGTCCGGGCCGATTCCGGAGCTCGGGCCGGCACCCGGCCCGGCTCCCGGGCCGGACGCCCGGGTCGGCGCCCGAGCCGGCGCCCGGGCGCCAGAAAATCGAGTTTCGAGGCGGCGCCGAAAAAAGGCCATTTCAATACACATTTTTCTTTCGAAAATGCTGAATTTCTGCTTCCGGCGCCCGGGAGGCCGTCCGGGCCGATTCCGGAGCTCGGGCCAGCACCCGGCCCGGCTCCCGGGCCGGACGCCTGGGTCGGCGCCCGAGCCGGCGCCCGGGCGCCGGAAAATCGAGTTCCGAGGCGGCGCCGAAAAAACGCCATTCCAATACACATTTTTCTTTCGAAAATGCTGAATTTCTGCTTCCGGCGCCCGGGAAGCCGTCCGGGCCGATTCCGGAGCTCGGGCCGGCACCCGGCCCAGCTCCCGGGCCGGACGCCCGGGTCGGCGCCCGAGCCGGCGCCCGGGCGCCGGAAAATCGAGTTCCGAGGCGGCGCCGAAAAAAGGCCATTCCAATACACATTTTTCTTTTCGAAAATGCTGAATTTCTGCTTCCGGCGCCCGGGAGGCCGTCCGGGCCGATTCCGGAGCTCGGGCCGGCACCCGGCCCGGCCGGCACCCGGCCCGGCTCCCGGGCCGGACGCCCGGGCAGTTCCGATCGCGCCGAAAAGAGGCCATTCCAATACACAATTTTCTTTCGAAAATGCTGAATTTCTGCTTGCGGCGCCCGGGAAGCCGTCCTGGGCCGATTCTGGAGCGGCTTTGGGCCGGACGCCCGAGCCGGCGCCCGTACGTGGTGCTTCTCTGCTTCTGGCGCCTGCGCAGCTTCCCGAGCCGCTTCTGGAACCATATCTGGGCCGGTCCAGCGATATGTTTCCTGGATGTGCTGAACCATCCAACTTTTTGAAACTTCTGCGTCTCAAGGATAGGGAGAGAAGACATTAAAGGAGGATCAAAAAGCAACGTCGCTATGAACGCTTGGCTGCCGCAAGCCAGTTCTACTTACTTGGACTACTACTACCGTTACCACTACTACTAGTGCTACAGCCGCAACAACAATATCATCAACTGCTGCTACTACAACTACTCATCCTTCCTCCCCCTCCTCCCCCTCCCTTCTCCTCCTCCCCCTCCCTATCTCTCTCATCTCCCCCTCCTCTTCCTCTTCCTCTCCCTCTGAGATGCGGGGCATGCGCAAGGCGATTGCGAAGGCGATGTGCCGTCCGAGCTATGGATGTTGAAGTTCCTCGGAAGAGGTGGTGGCCAAACCTTCTTGGGCGGGATATCTGGGTGAGGGAATATCGGATCCCGCATGCCAGAAAAAAACCCATGATGGGGTGTGCTATCCAGATGGATGCATGCGTCATGTGGAAGCATGGCGCATGAGGGTAAAATGATTGTTGTTGTTGTTGTTGTTGTTGTTGCTGTTGTTGTTGTTGTTGTTGTTGTTGTTGTTGTTGTTGTTGTTGTTGTTGTTGTTTTCTCACAGCGCGAGGGGGTCCCCTCTCCCCTCTCCGACCTTCGCTGAAGCGGAGCTCCGGGAAATGTTTTTTTTTTTTCTTCTCGGACTGCGTTTATCATGTAGTGCGCAGGAAGTTTTATTCCGGGAATTGGATTTTTTCTTGCGGGAAGACCGTTTTAGCAGCCGCGGATTTGCTGGCCCTCGCCCAGCTTCCGAGGGTGATCCCTGAAGTCTGGGCCCCTTTCCCGGGACCAGGTTGTCCGCACCCCAGCCGTCTCCTCGCGGTCCCTGGGCTCGGCGAGGGCCCCCGTGCGCGGCCCCAGGAAGAGAAGCGTGCCGGGAGGCCTTGCCCCACGACGAGGAGGGTCGGAATCCGGGGCCGCGTAAGGGCGACCCTTCGCTGGAATGGCCCTTGGTGCGGGCACGCTGGGTCTGGGCCTCCTAGATGGGGTCGGGGTAGATTGGGTCGGCGGATCGCGCTCTATCGCCAATGCATCGGCGATGCATCAGCGATGCGGCTCGATGTGGGGCCCAATTTTCTCCACGCCGACGTCGCCGATGCATCGCCGACGTCGACAGTGCATGGCCGATGCATCGGCGATGCATCGCCGATGTATCGGCGATGTATCGGCGGTGCGGCGAGATCCTCCGACCCCATGTAGGAGTGGCCGCGATTCAGCAACAGCGTCTTGCGCGCTCGAGATGGGCCCCCCCCCCCCGCAGCCGCCGACAGTCGGGCACCCTCACCAAGGTCACGCTTGCCGCTGACCACTTTTCGCGTGCAGCCGATGGGATCCGCTCCTTGGAGGTTCGTTGCCTTCCGTGGCGGTGATACAGTCGGGGCCCTGAAGACGGAACCCTTTTCGTTGGGGAGGGGCTCCGTGTTCCTTGATTGCTTTACAGTTTGCCTTGGGTTTTCCTTTGGTTCTCGATGGGAAATCGAAGGTTAGCTTATGGAAAACTGGGGCCATGCTCCTTGTTTATCGTTCCTTAGGTCAACGCCCCCACTGTATTTCGTGGTCGATCACTGGCCCCATCTGGCACGACCCCGTGTACTTCGCGCGGGTGGCGGTGGGGAGGTGCTCTCCACTCGGGGGGGGGGGAAGGACAGGGGCCCCGAAGAGAGGCCCTTCCCTTCTTAGGGCACCAGCTGGCTCCAGAAGCTGCCCCACAGTGGCCCCTTGAGGGCCCTTCTCTTCACCCCCCATCTGGGTCACTCCCTCATTCTTGGGTTTAACCTCATTCTGGTCCCTCATTCTGTCCCTCATTCTTGGGTTTAACCTTCTCTTCACCCCATTCTCTTCCTCATTCTTGGGTTTCACCTCATTCTGGTCCCCTCTTGGGTTCAACCTGGGCGGGCTCACATATTCCCAGACGTGCGACGCCCTGACGTTTGGTCAGGACGGCGTCCCTGGAAGCCCCGACCCCTGCCCCGGGGACCGCTTTCTCCGTCCCGAGCCGTTCTGTGGACGGTCCCGAGGCCCTGCCCGGGGCAGAACATCGGCAAGCACCTTCCGTCCTGCTTTGTCCCCATCGACGCGATCTCATGCCCGGGGCTCCGCCTCCCGTGCCTTATACTATATGTGCGTCGCCCCCCCAGGGGCGACGCGCGCACCGAGAAATCTTATAGTACATGCGTCGTGGCGGGCGCTTCCTGGCCACACCGCTCGGGAAACGATATACTGCAAGATGGGTATACTATATATGTTCGGGTCGGACGCGCGCCTCCAAGGAGGACGTATAGTACTAGTATGTCCATGTGCGTCCCCTGCGACGGCGGCCGCCGCGCCATATGCCGCCCCCGAGGTGCGCGACAGCCCGCGCGCCGGGGACGGCAGCGCCTCCTGCGGGTCGTCCTCGGCGTCCTCGCCCTGGGAGCTGGTCGGCACCTCGTGCGCCTCCTTCGGGGATCTCGCGAGGCCTCGGGGGAGCTCCGCGACGCTCGCGCTCGGCACCTGCCCGGGGCCCACCCAAAACAAAAAAAAAAAAACAAAACAAAAAAAAAAACAAGTGCGACTCCCATCTGCAGCGAGCGAGGGGGGGGGGAGGGAGAGAAGGAACAGGCCTCCTCAGAGGGTTCGGAGGTCCCCAGGCCCTCTGAGAAGTTTGCTGGGCCTTCCTCCAAGGCAGAAGGAACTTCTCAGAAGGCGCGAAGGCTTCTGAAAAGTTACGCCGCCCTTCTGAGAAGGCCTTCTCCTTCTCATTTCCCGCCCTCGCTCGCCGCCGATCCTAGCCCGACTCTTGTCAGTCTCATAGCTCTGCTGTAGCTCGTGACAAGTTCAGCTCAAGCTCGACTCAAGTCGGCGGACGTTCGACGCAGCATCGACGAATGAGTTAAGCGAGCGGCCTCATGAAGGTTCCCGGCGAGCATATAAAAAGGAACGGCAAACGGCATACAAGCACAGGCTTTCGGAGAACCGCTTGGACTTCTTGGGTCGGCGCTGGCCCACACGCAGTGGCGCGCGCAGCGCGCCGGGTGCGGCGCCTCAGGCGCCGCCAGGGAGGTCCAGCGCCGACCCAAAAAACCCGCGCGAACCTCTGACAGCTTGCTTTGGGGGAAAACACACGTACCAATGTTACGCCAGTCGGGCGACCCCAACCGCGTGCTGCTGCTGCTGAACAGGTCGCAGGATGTGGCAGGTCGGCAACGAAAGAGCGAGCGAGTAGCACGAGCAGCTCAAGGGGCGGTGCGCGTGGTCTTGATGCTCTCCCCCGGTCGCTGACGACATGTTGTCTCAAAGCGTCGATCGCCTGATGTCTGGACCCTCTCCCCAGGGCCGGCTTCTCACCCCGAGTCGTTCTCTGATTGAGCCAAGGCCTGGCGAAGGGCTGCCAGAGGCCGACACTTGCAGTGTTTGCCAGCATGGGCCCTGCAACGGAACTTCTGACACTGGGGATGTGTAAGCTATCGGGGCCTTTGTGGGCCCCGGAAACGGCAGGGCCGTTTTTTCACCGCTTCCAAGAAAAATGTCCCTTGAAAGTGGAAGCGGCAAAAAAACGGCGACCGGAAACGGCAACAAAAACGGCTCCAGGAGTGGAACTGGAGCCGGAACCGGTCAAATAAAACGGCGACGGAAGCGGCAAAGAAAACCGGCGTCGGAGCTGGCAAGAGAACGGCAAAAGGGAACAGGTAAACAAAAAACACGGCCCTGTCGTTTCCAGTCAGCCACGCGCAGAAGGGGGGTGGGGGGAGGGGGGAAGACTTCTTAGAAGCACCCCTGCTTCTTACAAGGCGCGGGCCTTCTCTAAAGGTGTAAGGCCGGCGCCTTCTAAGAAGCAGCCTCCTTCTCAGAAGCCCTCCCCCCTCCCCCCACCCCCTTGTTCGGGGGAGCGTAAGACCCGGGTTTGCCAGGACTCGGGTTCGCCATCGTTTTTTGACGACCGCGCCTCGGATTTTGTTTGACGAGGAGGAGTTTCGTGGGATGTCTGCAGCGGGAGGCCTCGCCAAAATGCAGGCCCGGCCTCGTCATTTTTTTGACGACCCCGTCGGGGATTTCCGAGTCCCCTGTACCCAGTTCTTACGTCCCCCTGACTTGTGCGCGCCGCCAAGCCAGGGCCCACTAAGATCGGGGCACCTCCACGGGCGGCAGCGGGCGGCAATACGGGCGGCAACGGGCGGGGGTTGCGGCTGCTCCTCGGGGCCCTGCGGGCGGCCACGGGGGCGGCAAGGGGGCCGGGTGGCGGCTCCCGGGACGCCCCCGCACGGGCGGCGGCCACGGGCGGCAGCTGGCGGGAGCGTGGCGAGTTTTGAGGGAGCCCGTCCAATCCGTCAGAAATGCAAGTCAGAACCCAGAAGTGTAAGCACTGTTTTTAACATGCGAAGAACGGTATAAAATAAACTTTTTCGCCGTCGGGGGCGCCTGTTCCTGGGCGGCTGGAAAGTTTATACCCTTTCGGTGGCACCGCAGGGGCATACACTTTCCAGCCGCCCAGGGACAGGCGCCCCCGACGGCGAAAAAGTTAATGTTATACCGTTCTTTGCTCGCTGATGTTTGCAGACACAAAACCTTTCATTGCGATCCGATGTTCCAATCCGGGCGCCAAAGATCCCGACCACTTCTCCGAGGGCAGTGTTCCGCCCTGGATCCGTCGGCCGGGCCCCGGGGCTCGGCAGCAGCCGCCAGAGGTCGACGTCGACGACAGACGCCCGGCATGGGGGCAAGGTTTTTGTTGAGCAGCTGATGCGCGGGATAGCCGTTTTTCATGTAACCACGCTGCCCATTCTCCCTCCTCGTCTTCATGTCCTCCTTGTCCTTGTCGTCATCCCCGTATCCTTCATCCCGAATTTTGCGGTGATCCACGGAGTCCAGTCGAGATGTGTGCCGATTTGGGCGCGTTGCATTTTTATGTATTGCGCGTAGCGCTGTTATCGATTGATAATCATTCACTGCCGCCGTTGCACATTAAACAAGGCATGCATGCCCAAGAGTCAACTGATCGCATTGTCAAGTTCACTACCGCCGCAAACTATGGCGACGGTGCCGCCTTTGAATGCCGTGGATGCGAGATATTGAAGCTGGTTGTCATTGTTCTGGCGACGGCGCCTTCATGGTGAACCACTAAGTGCCCTTGGTGCGCGATCGAGATTTGGCATGGGGTTGGCGTAAAACTAGCTCGCCAGTGAACACCTGCTTTTCGCCCCGCTCAATGGGCGGTGGCTTCGTGAGCAACTGGCCCCGCGGGACAAACTGAGCGTAATATAGCCCTACGTTGGCGAGAACAATCCCTTGAGGATGAACAGTTCGGGGCCCAGGCGGGAGAGTGAATGTTTGTTCCGACGATATCGATGTCAGGATGTTTGGATCGCCTTTCGCCTGAGACATCTTCACCATCAGAGCTACAAGATGAACTTTGGAGGGAATCGCCAAGGTCTGCCTCGCTGCCTGCCGTTTCAATTGAACCACGTTCAGCCCCGTTGATCAAAAGAGATACAAGGGGAAAGGGGCGAATGCTCTATTATCCGGGGGTTGGGGTTCAGATCCGTGCTCTTGTCCCTCCCGCGTTCTCTTCGCCCGTTCGGGGCGTGACCCGTTCCCCCCTGGGCGGCTCGCTCCCTTCCCGCCCCCTTTTTTTCGGCCGCTCTCTCTGCCCTTCCTCCCCTCCTGCATGGCAGCACCATTCGTTGCACCGGTACCCCCGTTTAGGTTGCCCTCCGCTTTCGCAGTTACCCCGCCTAGCCGCCGACGCAAAAAACTGCCCCCTAGCTTGGAGTTACGTCGGGCCTGTCCTTCTACGGGGGAACATTCAGAAATAAGGAAAAAATAGTCAGGGGACGATTGGTTGATTATTTTTGTTGCCACTTCGGGGTATTGTTTACTGTTTTTTGAATTTTTCGTCCAAGCTCCCCCTGTAGGAGGACGGGCCCGACTGATGCCTGGAGGCTGGCGCCGCCTGCGCCGTGGGAGCTCGACGCCGCGTCCTGGCCGTGCAGCGGCGGCGAGCCCCCCGCCGCCGACGCGCACGGCGGGTCGGCCGTGCCCGAGGGCGCGGCGGCGGCTCGGGGCGTTCAATGTTGGCGCTGTCTCTTTGGGGGGGTTCTGCTCGACGTCTCCTCCTCCTCCTCCTCCTCCTCCTCCTCGACCCCAGACGCTCCAACCTCCTCCTCCTCCTCCTCCTCCTCCTCCTCCTCCTCCTCGACCCCAGACGCTCCAACCTCCTCCTCCTCCTTCTCCTCCTCCTCCTCCTCCTTGTCCTCCTCCTCCTCCTCCTCCTCCTCCTCCTCCTCGTCGTCGTCGTCCTCCTCTTCCTCCTCCTCGTCGTCCTCCTTCTCCTCCTCCTCCTCGTCCTCCTCCTCCACCTCCTCCTCCTCGTCCTCATTCCCCCCCTCCAGGGGCATCGTTGGGGGGGAGACGCAAAGCTCGGGGCGACGACTCCATACGTGCAGTGGGGGCCCACGCCAAGAAACACCCTGCTTGCCTCCAGGGTGCCCTGGGTTTCTTGGGTTTCGACGGTTGTGTTGTGGAGAGCGCGACGTTCTCACACCAAAAATGGATGGACGTCTGGAAGGTTTCTTGTGGACTGGCCTCCGCTGTATGGGGCGTTCCAAATATGGCCTTGGCTTCGAGGCTCGAAGGATCCCTTCCTTGGCGGAAGGGCGGCGGAAGTTCGGCGGAAGCACAACGAGGCCGCCTCCACCATCGGAAGCGGGCGCAAGGCTGGCGGAAGGCGACGCAAGGAAAGACACGTCTTCCAGAGACGACAGCATTTTCGGGTTCCAGGCTTCGGGCATCCGCCATACAGTGATCGCTGGTTCTTAGAGGGTTTTTCGCCTCGGGAGTCTTTCCTTCCAGCAGCTGCTCCGCGCCGAGGGTGCTCGCGGGGTGCCCGACTCGTCCCGAACGGCCGCCGGCTGCCCGAGGTGTGGCCCGAGAACCGGTCGGAGAAGAGGGGGGACTCTGGGTTCAGTGTCTTCAGTCCCGCGCTCGCTCCGTCAGCTCCGCCTCACGGCGGCCGGGAAGCCTACGTCTTGGCATCGCTCGGACGTGCGCATGTTTCCTTCGGCGAGGACGATCGATGAGCATCCTCGACCGTTTGGCGGAACCGAAAAAAAAGCACGCGCGAAGCCGAAAAACAACAGGAAATGGACGTCCGAGCGAGGGCCAGTACATGCCCTCGTCGGTATCGTTGATCCGATGCCTGTCCCCAATGGGCCATGTTATCTCAGCCGAAAAACAACAGGAAATGGAAACCGAAGGACAACAGGAAATGGACGTCCGAGCGAGGGCCAGTACATGCCCTCGTCGGTATCGTTGGTCCGATGCCTGTCCCCAATGGGCCATGTTATCTCAGCCTCGACCGTTTGGCGAAACCGAAAAAACCAAAAAACACGCACGAAACCGAAGAACAACGAAACGTCCGAGCGAGGGCCAGTACATGCCCTCGTCGGTATCGTTGGTCCGATGCCTGTCCCCAATGGGCCATGTTATCTCAGCCTCGACCGTTTGGCGAAACCGAAAAAACCAAAAAACACGCACGAAACCGAAGAACAACAGGAGATGGACGTCCGAGCGAGGGCCAGTACATGCCCTCGTCGGTATCGTTGGTCCGATGCCTGTCCCCAATGGGCCATGTTATCTCAGCCTCGACCGTTTGGAGAAACCGAAAAAACCAAAAAACACGCACGAAACCGAAGAACAACAGGAAATGGACGTCCGAGCGAGGGCCAGTACATGCCCTCGTCGGTATCGTTGGTCCGATGCTGTCCCACTGGGCCATGTTATCTCAGCCTCGACCGTTTGCCGAAACCGAAAAAAAAAAAAAAACACAAAAAACCGCACGAAAACCGAAGAACAACAGGAAATGGACGTCCGAGCGAGGGCCAGTACATCCCTCCGTCGGTATCGTTGGTCCGATCCTGTCCCCAATGGGCCTGTTATCTCAGCTCGACCGTTTTTGGAGAAACCGTAAAACCAAAAAACACGCACGAAACCGAAGAACAACAAGGAAAATGGACGGTCCGAGCGAGGGCCAATACATGGCCCTCCGTCGGTATCGTTGGTCCGGATGCCTGTCCCAATGGGCCATGTTATCTCAGCCCTCGACCGTTTGGTAAACCGAAAAAAAAACACGCACGAAACCGAAAGAACAACAGGTAATGGACGTCCGAGCGAGGGCCAGTACATGCCCTCGTCGGTATCGTTGGTCCGATGCCTGTCCCCAATGGGCCATGTTATCTCAGCCTCGACCGTTTGGCGAAACCGAAAAAACCAAAAAACACGCACGAAACCGAAGAACAACAGGAAATGGACGGTCCGAGCGAGGCCAGTACTGCCCGCGTCGGTATCGTTTGGTCCACTATGCCTGTCCCCAATGGGCCATGTTTTTTTTTATCCTCAGCCTTGATCGTTTGGCGAAACCGAAAAAAAAAACCAAAAACACGCACGAAACCGAAGAACAACAGGAAAATGTGACGTCCGAGCGAGGGCCAGTACTGCCCTCGTCGGTATCGTTGGTCCGATGGCATGGTCCCCAATGGGCCTGTTAATCTCAGCCTCGACCGTTTGGCGAAACCGAAAAAACAAAAAAACACGCACGAAACCGAAGAACAACAGGAAATGGACGTCCGAGCGAGGGCCAGTACATGCCCTCGTCGGTATCGTTGGTCCGATGCCTGTCCCCAATGGGCCATGTTATCTCAGCCTCGACCGTTTGGCGAAACCGAAAAAACCAAAAAACACGCACGAAACCGAAGAACAACAGGAGATGGACGTCCGAGCGAGGGCCAGTACATGCCCTCGTCGGTATCGTTGGTCCGATGCCTGTCCCCAATGGGCCATGTTATCTCAGCCTCGACCGTTTGGCGAAACCGAAAAAACCAAAAAACACGCACGAAACCGAAGAACAACAACTGGATTCGGTCCGACGAGGGCCAGTACATGCCCTCGTCGGTATCGTTGGTTCGCGACGCCTATCCCAATGGGCCATGTTTATCTCACCTCGACGGTTGGCGAACCGAACAAAACCAAAAAACACGCACGAAACGAAGAACAACATGAAATGGACGTCCGAACGAGGGCTCAGTACATGCCCTCGTCGTATCGTTGGTCCGGCCTGTCCCCAATGGGCCCATGTTTCTCAGCCTGACCGTTTGGCGAAACCGAAAAAAAACAAAAAACACGCACGAAACCGAAGAACAACATGAAATGGACGTCCGAGCGAGGGCCAGTACATGCCCTCGTCGGTATCGTTGGTCCGATGCCTGTCCCCAATGGGCCATGTTATCTCAGCCTCGACCGTTTGGCGAAACCGAAAAAAACAAAAAACACGCACGAAACCGAAGAACAACAGGAAATGGACGTCCGAGCGAGGGCCAGTACATGCCCTCGTCGGTATCGTTGGTCCGATGCCTGTCCCCAATGGGCCATGTTATCTCAGCCTCGACCGTTTGGCGAAACCGAAAAAACCAAAAAACACGCACGAAACCGAAGAACAACAGGAAATGGACGTCCGAGCGAGGGCCAGTACATGCCCTCGTCGGTATCGTTGGTCCGATGCCTGTCCCCAATGGGCCATGTTATCTCAGCCTCGACCGTTTGGCGAAACCGAAAAAAAAAAAAACACGCACGAAACCGAAGAACAACAGGAAATGGACGTCCGAGCGAGGGCCAGTACATGCCCTCGTCGGTATCGTTGGTCCGATGCCTGTCCCCAATGGGCCATGTTATCTCAGCCTCGACCGTTTGGCGAAACCGAAAAAACCAAAAAACACGCACGAAACCGAAGAACAACAGGAAATGGACGTCCGAGCGAGGGCCAGTACATGCCCTCGTCGGTATCGTTGGTCCGATGCCTGTCCCCAATGGGCCATGTTATCTCAGCCTCGACCGTTTGGCGAAACCGAAAAAAATAAAAAACACGCACGAAACCGAAGAACAACAGGAAATGGACGTCCGAGCGAGGGCCAGTACATGCCCTCGTCGGTATCGTTTTGTCCGGTGCCTGTCCCCAAGGGGCCATTGGTAGCCCCGCCAGCCGCCAGCGTGCTTGCCCCCAGCCGGGGAGGGACGGCCCCCTCGAGGCCCGGAGAGGGAACCGCCGCCCAGATCCCTTTCCAGGGGGGATGCCTCGGCCAGGGAGGCCCAGGCCACGCCAGTGGGGAGGGAGGGAGGGAGGGGGGAGGAGGGGCCACGCCAGTGGGGATGCCATCCAGTGGGGATGCCTCCTCCCTCCTCCCTCCCTCCCTCCCTCCCTCCCTCCCATCCAGGGGGATGCCTCGGCCAGTGAGGCCCAGATCGGTTACTCCAGATTTCGTGATCAAAGGGAGGGGGTCTGGACCCTCCACATCGTCCCCAGACCCCCCAGGCCCTTCGGGATAGCCCGGAAGAGACCCCCCCCCCCCCCGAAATGAGACCCCCCTCCCTTTCTTACGGAATCTGGAGTAAACGATGCCCACCTCGGCCGACGGCCGAGAAAACGAACCCGCGGTGGCAGTCTGCCCCGCGCCATGGGGGGCAGCCGCAGCGGAGCGAGGGGCGAGGGGCTGCCCGCAGCCCAACAGACCCCCGACGCCGTGAGCTGTGCAGGCCGTCGGCCCTCCGAGGTCCCTGGTGGTCACGGAGCGCGTTCCGCTGCTCGCGCAAAGTGCTTACTCGCAAGCGTCTGGAACAAAAACGCACTGTCTGCTTCGATGCAATTTCTCGTCAGGAGGAGGAGGAGGAGGAGGAGGAGGAGGAGGAGGAGGGAGGAGGAGGAGGAGAGGAGGAGGAGGAGGAGGAGGTCCCCCCTGGCGGCTGCAGGGCCATGTGCGAGTAGCCACTTTTATCCGCAAGACGATAGCCAGACACGGCGTCGGAGATCTGGTGCGCCGAGGCCGCCGCGCGCGCGCCGCCGCTCGAGTG